GTTGTCGTTTTCAAATATTATCCGTGAAAACGCGCCAAACGAGCGCAACTGTGTATGTTACTGCTTTGTGGGCGCGTTACAAACGAAAAGCTCGATAGCAAAATAAAACTACACAAGCCGATCGCCTAGTATTCAGGCAACGGTATTAAGCAATTAATTCTCATGTTAACATTTTGTTTTCTCAATACTGCAGCATCGCTGCGGTACTTATAATTGGATAATTTCACTTGCGCGGGAATTTTAAATTAAAACTGTCTGTGCAATTTATATTGAAAATTGAAACTATTTTACTCAATTACTGCATCAGATGTGTCTGCAGCATCGGAGGAGATCTGATTTTAAGTTTCTAATTGATTGATTAAAGAAGATAAAAAGGACTAAGTATTGTTAAATTTATTATATCAAATTATACCCAATTTGAATTGATTTTAATCACTTCTAAAAGTCGCCACTGCTTTTCTAATCAATATATCGTTAATTTAATTAAAACAGTGGCGTTTAACTCAGACGGTTAGATCAAAGGTATTATAGATATTTCAAATTTGATTTATTATTTATTAAAATGCATACGTTAATATGTTGTTTACTTTGAAACTAACCACAGAAACGGATTGATTTATATTTTGACATAGAAAAATAATAAAATATTATTTATGTTAACTCAAGGGATTGAATTATCATTGCTTTGATATTTAACAGTGAGACATTAAGCAATTATAATTTCTATATGTTAACAATTTATTTCATCAATATTGCACCATCGCTGCAGTATTTATAATTAGATAATTTTACTCGCGTGGGAATTTTAAATTCGAATGGTCTGCATCGTCCTGTATTGAAAATTGAAACTAATTTGTTCAATTACTACATCTATGGATATAAACGTGTCTGGAGTGTCGGACAAGATCCGTTAAACTTATAATCGATTGGAGAAAGCAACAAAAACTTCGTTCTTATTCATGATTCCATATTTGCCTGCTGAGATAACACATAGGAATATCGCGGAAGTATCATCGTTCCCATTAGTTTTCCGTCAGCATCGGGTTGACGTACCGTCGCTGGATGCATCTTCGAATCGTCAAACATTTGCACTTGCCATATCCATCGAGTACAGCTTGTCCCGCGAGAGAAACGCGGCATGTAATGCGTTGCGGTATGCATACGTGCATTACACACACACACACACACACACACACACACACACAGGTATACGTAGATATATTCCGCATACAAGTTGTACCTCGCGAGAGAGCGTAACATCGCGCGTAGTAAAGAGAGTACATTACGCGCGCAACTCTTTCCGCACCCTAATGCATCCGATATCCGCTTTCCCAAAGTCGGTCAAGGCTCCTTCAGAAGATGCATTTCCACTTGAAACTTCCTTCCCGCGTTCGCGCTCGAAAAGACGACCACCGCACGTCCGAATAGCCCAACATTTGCCCGTCAGTGAAGAACCCGCAGGTCGATGCGGGAAGGTTGAGAGGTTCAGGAGAGAGGAAGAGAGAAATGGAAGAGGAGGAAGAAGCGGAAGAAGAGGAGGAGGAGAGGAATGATTTATATCCCTCGGGCGCGAAGATCTTACCTCGGGTGTTAGTTCCGCCGGTTGAACATCCAGATGGAAAGCGGGTGGGCATGGCACATGGGGCGGTGGCAAGGAAGGGTTGCTTGCGAAGTTCTTATCGGTGTGTATATAATTTTCGGTGGGGTTTGCAGTTAGTAGGTAACACCGCGCGGCTGCCCTTTGCCCTCGGCGTGGTGGGAACTTGCTGCGGTGGGATACTTACGACCGACGTTTACGCCGGGGATACAACACATTGTTCCCCCAAGGCACATTAGGTCGGATTTCCTAGCGTCGAGTGGTTGGCTGCGGTTTAGCGATTTTTGCGAGAGGGTCGCCGGCATTGGTGCGTTCGACTTCTCGGGGCGAGCAACTCGATACGCACTAGGTTTTAGTATCGCATTTCACCAGGAAACCTTTCTGGAGCAGTAAAGTAGGACAAGTCTCAGCTGAGTTCTCAAATTATTCATTACAGGGATAAAAATGTAAATAAAGAAATATGAAGCTCAGCTTTTAATTTACAATTGTGATTGTGATATAAAATCTCTTGAACGTTTTATAACTTTTATTATTTTTATGACTTTTTGTATTTATTAGTTTTGTGGAGAAAATAAAATACATTTATATAAACAAAATTTGAACGAAAAAATAACAGATGTTTCTCGTCTACTCTTTCGTCTTTTTTATTGCCTTTGGCATCCGTCGGTCTCGTTATCTTGTTATAAGACACAGATTTTTGCAATGGGGGCCTGTTAGCGGACTCACCGTAATTAGGTAAAGTAGTCCTTGTCCTTGCTCTGCACTCAACAGTCACAACAAACTGTTATCGGTAAGTTGCTCGGCAGTTTACTTTCGCCAGTGACCGAACCACTTCCATGAGTTTGTTTAAAAACAACGCCAGCCGTTGCAGTGTTATCGTAAGTTCTTCGCTTAGAATGTCCATCGCACTGTGAGGTATTTTCATAAAAACTTTCTAAAAAACGTGACTAAAAATATGAAAAATATGAAGTTGCAAATTTTGCGTTTTTAAAGTTGTGGATTTGTGTTTTTATCTCAAGTTTTAACTAGTAAGTTATGTATTATATTATTTTAATAATGAGTTTTAATATATTTGTGAGATATTATTTGTACAAATTATTTGACTTTAATTGATTGGCCAAAAAGAAAAACTTTTACACGTAAGAAAAATATTTTATTTCTATGATGAAAGAGAGATACACATACTTCCGAGTATTTTCAATTTGTTTGAATAAGATTATATTTTAATTACAGTTATAAAAATATTTTATATTTGGATCTTTTATATGATAATATTCATTCAACATTTTAATTCTGACGTAGTGTTTGGCCGATATATTCATAGTCTTATATTTAAGACCGTTTTAAATTCAGACTTAAGATGTCACATAAATCAATCATAGGGAGAGATCCATATTAATATTATAATATCTTTTTATTAGAAATTACTTAAAATCGTCTTGAAACTATGGACTATGAATACTGACTTATATTATAATCAAACTCTTATCACCATTAGATAAATTTTTTTAATTCTACGACATTGCTTCTTACATATTTTTTTACAATTGATCGTTTTTAGATATTTTAGGGTTTTCAGACTTTTTTTTTAAAGGATTCATGGGTTAGTAAATTTTTATTTTTATGTAAACTTTTTCTGTATACGTTTAGCGTACAAAAAATATATTAAGTGACATCCATATTACATTTACTGCTAATTTTAAGAGAATGATGAATAACGTTCTTTACAGTCTTGCCATTATTTCGCTACGGATATAAAATATTTTCAATTCAAAAGTGAAATATTTAAAACATATGTTGCATCGTTTTTTCTTTGTTTTTGAACAAAAATTATGCTTTTGACCATGCTTTTCTGAAATTGCCCCAATGTGTGCCGCGGTAATCTCCCTATTTATAGAAGAGAGCGAAATATCCCCAGTTTAAACGCACCCTCGCTTGGCTTTCTTGACTTTCCTCGCAAATACGCGCGAAGGATATAATCCGATTACACGTTTTGATACGTTCAGAGATGGTGTAGAACAACGTGTGCGTGCTTGACTGCATTTTGCCTGGTGTATTTTCCTGCCGTTTGCTTTAGTCTCGCGTTCTAGTCACAGGAACGATTCTTTTGGATTTCAAAGCTAATCATTTATCGAATTTATAGCAGCTGCACAATTAAACAACAAAATATTGAATTATATTTTTTCTTTTATATGTGTATCTTATTTGAAAAATTTATCTTTTATTGAATTATTCCGTTAAACATGATGCGTTTTTCTTATAAATTTATCTGCTGTCAATAAACGATAAATTTTGTATGAACTCCAACTGTTTTTGTAAACAACTCGCTTGATTCGGTGTAATTTAGCGCCTTTCTCGAAACGTTAGTTCGCCACCGGCTAATACAAGATTCTCGTCATTATACAGCGGCTTCATCTCTCGCCGCGGGTTTATCCCTCGCTTTATTCCTCTCACGTATCTCTATGAAATTATTCACGCTGGCCGGCGACACATTGTGCCTCGCGGTTCTAGAAGAATAAGTGGTGAACATAAAACGCGAACAACGAAGCTACTCCTCGGCCTTCTTAACTGGAACACGTTGTGACGAGAACACATGATATTCGCCTCACGATTATTTTCTATGTTTTCAGCAATTTTATTCCTTTCCTCGACTAGAAAAATAATAATTCGGTGATAACTTGCGTCCTTATGGCAGAGTTTGTATAGTTATCGTCGCATATATTATCGCTTCGCTTTATTACCGAGATTGGTATCATTCTGGTGAGTTTTATTCTTGATGTCATAGTCTTTTGTATTTGAGATCGTTTTAAGTACAGTTTGAAGGCATCATAAACCACATAGCTGTATAAATTATATAGCTGTTATTATATAGCTGTTAATATTAGCATTAAGACAATATTATTTAAGATGGTCTTGAAATAAGGATTATGAATATTGGCCTCGCGAAAAAGAGAAGATAATATATAAAATATACATAAAATATATTAATTAAAATAAGTCTTTCTTTAATTCTATAAAATCAAAATTCTTATAATTGTCGATCAGAATTATTTTTGTACATCTTCGAAGTCAAAGTGTGAACTTTTTCTTCCTAAAATGATATCCATGCGGAAAGATCGATTTGCTAAAGTACGTAAATATTTAGCCAGATACAAATCTGAAAATTTTGTTAGACTATTAAAATAATTACCCCAAGTTGACTGTTGGAACGTCAAAACTTTTTGCAACATTGCTCAACTGTACTTGAACATCTTATATAATTATTTCAATGATTCAATTATTTTTAGATCTGTATCCAAGTAAATTCTTAAATACTTTAGGCAAAGTCGTTTTTTCCATACAGTGCCCGCGTAAAACAACGTGGGCGATGAACAACTAGCTGTAAGTTTGTTTTTTCTTGTAGCTGGGATGCCGGCCATGGAATCTCAGTTTAACGAGCGTGATCATCCTGGCGCTGTCGAACATGCTGCTGACGTTCCTGCTGTTGCAATCGGAGACTTGCGCGCCAGAAGCGATCCCGCGGGAAGTGGAGATGAACGCCGTCACCGAGTGGAATCTCGGCACTCTCGTCAAGCACGAGCAACAATCAGAATGCATCACGCAGGATTACCAGCCCGCGTCACCTGACGCTAACAGTCTCAAGCTGGACATAAAGCTCGGTAGATGGGACGCCCGGCGGATGTTCCGGATGTATGACTCGGTGCTGGTCGGCAGCAGGTTCACGGAGCTTTCGCAAACCTATCGGGTGTGTCTGGCTACCCAGAGCTCCGTGGAAAAATTACACTCACTGGTACAAGTCGCCTTGCATTGGACCGGCCCGATGTCCGTAGCGCTTTATGCCGCCGGTGATGAAGAATTTGAGGTGTTGCAGCGTTACCTGGTGTACCTGAGGAGGTGCTACGAATCTATTAGAGAGAGAGTGATTTTCTCTCTTGCCGTGCCGAAAATGCGAACGCCCAAGAAGCAGCCGCGCGTTTTCGAACTGCCGGACCGTGTCGATTGTGCCAAACCGGAAGCTACCCTCAACGAGTTCATGAGCCGCGTGCCCAATGAGCAGACCAATTGGCGGATACGGAATGTATATCCGCAGAATCACATGCGGAACCTGGCGCGCAAAAACTGCCAGACGGACTATGTGTTTTTAACGGACGTCGACATCGTCCCGAGTTTCAATCTGACGGTCGTGCTCGACGAGTTCCTTAGGAACGACAACTGTGATAAGTGCGCCTATGTAATACCCACGTACGAGTTGGACACGCGCGTGAGGTTTCCTCCAAATAAGACGGAGTTAATTAGGCTCGCCACGAAAGGCTTGGCCAGGCCTTTTCATCAGAAAGTCTTTATACATAATCAGTTTGCCACGAATTTCACGAGGTAAATGACACTTTATATCAATTATTGTAATTAAACGTCAATTAATATTACATTAGCTCTTTATAAATTTCTTGAAATTATGTTCGCTATAATTAATTGGAAACAATTAAAATACTAATCAATTTAATACCCGTTGATTGAAATTGATTAAATGCTCAACAGACTATAAATTCATAATGGTTTTTTTTACGACAAGTTGCATTATTTGTACTTTAGTAATAATTTGTTAATAATAATTTTACCATCATTTAGAGATTGTATTTTTATAGTTAATAATTTAAACAAAATTATATGGCATATATATGTATATAATTTTGTGTATATAAAATGTGTATATAAAATATAAAATAGTCTTGTGGATGAGACTCTTGGTATAAATATTTAGTCTTTTTATTTTACAGTCTTTTTATTTTATAGGTGGCTACAGGATGTGTCACCGAACCATGTGCATCACGAAAATGTCAAGACTGGTAAGGTGTACATTAGTCATGATGTGACGAATTTCGAATTCCTTTACGAGCCTTTTTACGTAGCGAAGGATATCGTTCCGCCCCACGATGAGAGGTTTATGGGATACGGATATACAAGGAATACCCAGGTACGCGACATTTCCTAAGATAACGTAGTTCTTTTTTTCTAGTAGCACACTCACCATCTACGTGACGAATGCATTAATGGTGATGTGAATCGAAAATTCAATTTTGTTCCCGAACATGAGATAACATAAAATAATACGTAAGTTTACATTCGATTCGAGTAGGTTGATGAATGCAGTTCTTTCCTTTAATGTATGAAAATACTCGTATTCGGGAAGATAAACTCAGTGGATGTATCAATGTATAAAAAAACTTATGGCTATTATTTATGAAACATATTGAATCTATTAGCAGCGATATAGATAGAACAGTTTGAATTAAAAATGCTCCCCCGGCAACATTATCGTCAATATTCTTCCCTATGGAAAAGCAGAAATGAATGATAAAGATCATAAATGGCTCAGATACGAATGTATCCATGATAATTGCACGGATATACATCGCATATGAGCGTGTATTTCATCAAGCGCGACCGGTTTATTCCGCAACGTCGGAGAGATAAAAAGTGTTACATCGAAAATTAATATACTTTTCGGGATATTAGTAGGATTAGCGGATAAATGGCAATAATGGAACCGGCAGCTACTGGTCATTACTACCTTTCTACGCTTCTCTGTAAATAGTCAGCATAAATCACACTAAAAGATGTACATTTTGGGATATTAACGATAAAAGCGGGATACCCTGCGTACATATATTCCCGTTTCATCAACCGAAAGAGAGAGAAAGAGAAAGAGAGAGAGAAAGAGAGAGATGTGTTCTGGATTACGACATTTCGCTAACTCGACGACGCGGCAAACCGTGCTACGGGAAAATCATCAATGCGGATGTAGTGGCTATAAAGTTACATATGCCAACGAGGGAATATTAGTGAGATCATGACGCGAGCCAGGAAAAACGGCTAAAAAGGATCTCAACATGCGACGAGTAGCAAACTAGAATGAGCGTATCCCATTGCGCACGTCGCGCGGGACATTAATTGAATTATATATTATCATTGCCGCGGCGTTATCGGACGATGGAGGCTCGTTTTGCGGAACGGACATTATTCAATTTAAACTTGATGCATCTCTGGCCGTGTAATCGAAGGTTTGCATATCGGGACGTTTGCGCGTCGCGTGAACCGCAAATTGCGTTCGCTAATGTACTTTTCAGGCATGTCATCCTCACGCGAATTACGAAGATTCGCAAATTTCTTAGATCGATAACGCCGAACTTTGAAACTTTATTACGTAATGTCTCGTAGCGAATCACGCAGCTTCGATAGCTTGAAATGAGGAAAATTTATTTCAGTCTAAAATTAAAAATGAAAACAGAAAAATTATATTCGTATTTGCATGAACAGAATGGTTTTACTGAAATATTAAAAATTTAACTAGATATAGATTTAAAAATAGTTTTGTTGGAATTATCAAAGTTATTATTTATATAGGACGATCAAGTTGATTGCTAGAATATCAGTAAAAACAACTGACATTCTAGCAATCAACATTATTTATCATGCTTGAGTTTTCTGTAACATCATTATTTTAATAAAATAAAATTTTCAAACTTATATCTATCTACATTTCAAGATAATTCAATAAAATATATTTTTTTTCATATATGTTCCAATTTCCACTTTCCGAAATCTAATCATAAAGTTCTTTCTGTATTTATTTAAATAACTCAGTTTTTGGGATGTAATGCTTTTGCCTTGCTATATTATTTGTATGTATTTTATGTTTTAATAACTATTATTAGCATTTGGTACCTGAGCCACTAGCGAGCCATTAACATTGATATAGAAATTCTCAGTGTTTGTGCAAGTTCAATAATTTATGTAAGTGACTATATCTGAATTTATTATTTATTTATTCAATTTATTACATACAGTAACGTTTGAGTAATCGAACAGTTAATGAACATGCCAATATGATAATATCTATGGTTCGTCCAATCATATTTATAACATGTAAGTTATATTTTTAATTTAACTATTGTTTTTTAATATAAAATACAATAGTTAAATAGTTCATTTAATTTAAACGTTTGTTCAGCAAATCGAGCAATTTGATGCAAAGTTGTTCGCTGGAAAATATATTCATCTGACCATTAATATAAATATGAGACATTGTAATTATTAAAGCTTGCGAATTATTTATACTGAGGAGGATTCAAAACGCGGATCGAAATGTTTATTTATGGTATATATTCTTTTAAATATTATAAAATAAGAAATTCGTACACCATGTACTCTCTCTGACTCAGATTATAGGTTTTATACATACAATTGATTTAAACAATTCAGTTATTTAAACGATTCTGTGAGAGAAAGAGGTCACGGTGACTAAAATTACAGCGATCTTTAAAATGTTATTTGTGCCAAAAACCACAAAACAAACGCGAGAACCTTTCCGCTTCCAGTCCATATATACGGAGCATTGTATTCCTCTGAACATATAAATGTTCTTTTGTGGCATGCGGATCCCACATTGTTTTGACAAGAAAGTACGACAGTACCGACCGCTTCCGACTCTACGACGGAAATAACGAAATTCCATCGCACGGCAAAAATCCGAGCGCGATGAACGTGCACAGCTGCAAAACGAACACATGAAGTACACGCAACGGCAATAAAACAGGCGTAAAATCTACGTACGTATGATATTGGCACAACTGCATTTGTGCAAGGAAATTTTATGGTCTGGGACATTCGCCGATTTTTTCTTCTCCAGATGAGATAGTTAATACATTCAGTGACAAATGCACTGAGAAGTCCGTTTGGTCGAATCAACTGATCTCTCGTTTGAATATGGACAATAAAATATGGGCAATAAACTTAGTCGAAGCTAAAAATTTGATTATTATAATATTTTACTTATTTCTGATAATATAGATATTATCACTATATAATATACTATATTATAGGATCATATATGTGACGACACAAACTATAGAAATCAAAGTCTTAAATGGTTTAGTTGGAGCTTAATGCTTGTATAATTCTTGTATAAATTTATATACAATACTGTATGTAGTCTTCAGAAACGCGCGCTGAAATGATTTTTCGGTCTTGAAACGCTAACTCTACTAAACTATCGCAGTAATATTACGAGTTAAATTGATTAGCATTTTAACAAATTTTTGATGCTCATTCGCATCTTCGAAACGATCTTAATAATATATGATATTAAAATCTGTAAATAATTAATTCTTATTGCGAAAAATATTACCCAAATCTCTTGCATTCCGTGCAAGCGTCCTAAGCCTTTAGACTACCGAGGCCTTAGTAATATTCTTTGCAATAATTGGCATATGAAGGAACAACGTCTCTTTAGGCGACGTAAATAAACAATATAATATATTATAGGATCGTATATATGTGATAACACAAACTACATTTATATGTCGGTGACCTACGTGACGTAAATGAAAAGTTGAGTACTGATCACGGTTATCATCACAGTGAATGCGTTAAATCATACTATTTTAATGGCGTAAGTGAAAAGATGTTTCTTATTACAGAAAAATTTAATCGTCAAATATATATTAAAGTGTATGTGTCGCAATTAGGAGTGTTAGGATGATACTATCAGTCGTGAGATCCTTGTTGTGATAATGATGATGGTGGTGGCGGTGGTGCGGCCGGCATTACACGCGCTGGCGGATATCGGAAGTACGTACTCGTACATTGATACTCGCGTCTCTCCTCTGCGGTTCCTGTCTCACATCTATTCCCTGTGGAGAAATGAGAATGAGTACCGTCTGTTTACCTTCTCTTTACCATCTCTGTAGTCAATTACCAAAGTTTCCACTCATTTCCGTTGTATATTTAGAGAAAGATGTTTGGTATTCGTGACTATAATTGCACGATAAAATAATTATAGCTAGAAGCTCCATTTTTATAATTACTACTGCTATAATGTTAGTAATAGTTATTATACTTACAGAGTTTTACAAAAAACATAGTTGACACCGAAAATGACTATAAATTCTAGTTAAATTGTGATAGTTGCAACCATTTTTTTCTCTCAGTATACGCAACGCTCAAGCTCAGTTGCCTCGTTCTTTCAGGAACGCAACGTGTGACCGCATTCTTCACACGCTTTAAAAATTCTTGTTCTCTGCTATTCTCTTTCATTTTCATTATAAAAATTTTTTTTTACACGAATAAATCTTTTAACATTTTTTCATTTAGCTGTGTATGTCAGAGTTTCTGAATCTTGTACTATTTCCAAAATGTAATCAATTTGATCAATTCTACTCAACGTAAATTTACAATTGCAGTTGACGTCTTTTCTGTTACCTCGCCGCATATAGACGTGAGTCTCTCGTGAGAATATATAGCCGCCATTATATAGCCGGACCGATTTTATTTTGCATTAATTAATCTTCGGCTGTTTACGTATACAATACGCTAGGACAATGCGGTATGCGCCATAATTACGATGCAATTATGTCGGTTTTCCAACTCGCTTCGATTGCCCGGTAAAATGAGCGAGTTAATTGCCGATCGATTCGTTAATTCTCCATACCGATCCCCGTGTAGCCTTTGTCCGGCCGCGAGCGAGAGCTTAACGTTCCCCTTCTTCCTCCCCCTCATACAACCTTCAATTACCCATCGATGTACCGAGTACCGAGCGATTGTCGACGTGGCCAATATAAAGGATTTGGCCCCTGACAATGTATGGCACGTGCTAGTCCTGTTCGCTCGCGACTCTACATTGGCGATCGATTCTGTCATCGTCGATTCGACACGCCATTCAGCGTAGTCCGACCTGGCGGGATTCTTTATTGTCGTGTTTATCGAGTGCACCGATCGCGCCGGCACGAACCGCCCCGGCTTGATATCTCATCAGACTGGCGTTATCGGATTGATTTCGACACCCGGGGCTGGCGCACCGCGATAAGCGAGATAAGCCTGGCGTGGAAGGCGTCAAAGTGTAGAGGAACAGAAATAAAAATCGGAAAATAATGAGCATATTTCGCCATGTATTTTTAAAGCGTATATCTCGAATTA